GCCAGGCGCCAGCGCCCCGGCAAACGACACTAAGATTGCACCCGATTTAAATAACCAAACAATTGCGCGGTATTAATGTTTTAACGCTTTAACACGGCACCCTATGGTGACCATGACTGGGATACACGGACGTAATGAACCCCACGGGAGACGAATCGTCCATTCGGTGCCGTGAAATGATGATTGTTTTATGTATATGTCAGTGGGGTGGGCTGGAGAGCGCCGTATATAGTGCGCGTTCATTTGACCTGACTACGCGGCTCCAGAGCATGTGAGACGTTAATTGTACGTTCAACGTTGCAATCGTGCGGTTGACACTACGCAATCAGCTTCATTCAGGACAATTTGTTGGCAAAGCGCATCCTAAGTGGATTTGTTGAATACTCTTCAAACTAACGCACGCGGTCACACTGTTTCCCGACTTAAGTCAGTTGGTACTCCTACGTGCTCCTACGGTCATAGATTCGTGATGCCATCAAGTACGCACTAATCCAACCATAGAGAATCAGCGGCAATGCTGTCGAAAAATGTTCGATTTAGTAGCAATAAATGGCACCAAATTAATAAAAATGGCATCACGTTATACAAAAAATTAGTAATTATTCATTTTAGTTTAACAAACCTACCCTTTATTCCTTCTTGGATGACTGCGTCGGCATCAGCTGGGATCATTCTTAATTTTGATCAAAATTTGGTCATTTTGATCGGTTTATTCTAACGTGATCGTTCATTTTATTGTTAATGCCGGGTGCCATCAGTGGTAGCTTTATGCTTGATGGATATCCGGTACCTATCATAGACCTCTGTATACCGGTATACAGAGGTCTATGCCGGTATTAATTGCAATTTCTAAGAGTTTTACAGCAAATCAAAATGTGGGAGCTGCTTTACGGAGGTCATGCCATCCGTAGCCCAGCCGTTCGAACCAGCACATTTTGTTGAAGCCACCGCCATGCTCTCTGATCTCAGTACCATTTCTGTGATCCCTCTGTCGTCCGCGGTCGTCGCTGTGATCCCCGGAGCGACATCTCCCTGCCCTTTGATCCACGAAGGACGCCGGTCACATCCCCCGACAAACGCGGGCACGGCCGCCGCGCCGCCGCCGCCGCCGTCGCTGCACCAGATTTAATATGGGCGCAGCCGACGAGGCTATCTATCACGGGTAAGGAGACCGGCCGGCGATATTAAGGCTGGCGCTCAGCGCAGCGCCACCTCCGACGGCCGCAGCTCGGCCTGACTAATGTGGCGCTGCAGCTGCAGCTCTGCGCTGAGTGCCGGCCCGCCGGCGCCGAGGAAAAATTACGGGTCGGAGGGCGAGCGCCAAGGTGCGCTGAAGAAGCAACATGGCGTGGGCGGCTGATAGAATGGCCGGCAGATGGTCGACGACAGAGGACCAGTGGTCAACTGGTCAGACACGAGAGGCTAGTGGTCAGATGGTCAGGTCAGATATGAAAGACAAGTGGTCAGATGGTCAAACACGAGAGGCTAGTGGTCAGATGGTCAGACACGAGAGGTTATTGGTCAGCTGGTCACACTCGAAAAGTTATTGGTCAGATGGTCAGACACGAAAAGTAGTCAGTTCGTCAGCGACGAGCGCTTGCACATAGTGGTCAGATAGTCAATGTATGTATGTACATACATACATGTACGGTACGACGGCTGGTTAAATATGACTAAGCGCTGTGAGTTGAGATGAGCCGTTGGCTCAGCGCGGCGGTCCGCACTCATCACCGCCCGTTTGTCCCGGCTGCGGCCGAGAGGACGCCGCTGGTTATATAGCCGCAGACGTAATGGCTGGCTGTTGGTTGCAGATGGGAGGCATCCCGGACATGCAGGGCAAAACCACTCCTGCGGTATGTTGCAATCTTGGCTAAACGTGTTTTTGTTCTGTGATGTTGAACGGTTTGGGGTCCGCAATCTTTTCAACGACGACGGAGGGTAGATACGTAGGGAAAAATGCTGACTATAGGGTGTTCACTGAAAATTGACACAAACTTTGAATGGCTGCATATCAAAAGTGAAGCAAGCTATTACGATACAACTTAGCATAGAGATAAAAGGGACGTTTTTATCATACCGAGCATAAAATTTCACGGATGTGATGAAAACATTGGCGTTGGAGGTCGTTTTAAGCAAGGACGCCCAAAAGCCCATTGGCAGGCTTTCCCAAAATAGCACGTCAATGGGAGAGTTTGGCACGTACAAATACCTAATGAAAACTTAAAATGTCAAAATTAGTTACATACCGTACAGTGGGACGAAAGTTCCTAGAGGGTGTGGGAGTCCGAAAAGCTGAAGTGGTGTAATTGGGAAGATATTGACCTGAGGAAGGGTCGGGGCCCCGAAAATGCACGTGGAGGGGCTTTTTGACACCTCACGGCGCAATGCTGCTGATCAGTAAGGTATTAACTGTGCCTAAGCGAAGAAGATATATCACACCTGAGAGTAGGCTGAGTTACAGCCGGCGCAAATGATTTCTCGAAGCGACTGGGAACAACATAAGGCCAGAGAAGTAAATATGCTATGGTCAAAAAAGGGACAAAAGATGCAGAAAAATGTTAGACTATTTAAGGTAGAAAAATCATGCTTTTAGTTAAAGGGCGACAATTAACTAGAGAATGGAGTGTTCTGTTGTGATGTAATCGATGATACAAGGGCTAACGTCTATTTAAGTGTCAGCATGCAAGCTAACGCTGGATGCCGTGGTGTATGTGTTATTTCAGAGAATATCATCAGTTCGACTTTATTCCTCCAGACTGGTCCTTTACAATATGATACTTTTTGAGCCAAGTGTATTATCAAGCACTAGAGGTTCATGCAGAACAACATATTATGTAACCAGATGGTGATTTTCTGGTCCGACCTCGCGCCAGCACACTAACCAAGGGGCGCCTTGAGGGCCCCGGCCGATGTAAAAATTCCCATTGGAACGAGACCCGATAAGCCATTTTCCACGCCTCATTTGCCTAAGGCTATAACGTATGTTGGTGTCTTTCGATTTCATACAAAATATCAACTGGTTGCTCATTACCACCATCAACTGGCCAACATCACGGTACACTGGTGCCAGAGCTTGTGACAACACTTCCAAGGAAATGTCCAAAAAATGACCTATGGGTATCAGGCAAATCTGTTGACGCTCTACGGCTTGCAGCAGATGCAATGTGCATTACAATAATGCCTTGTTTGTTTAAATCGGTACATTTTTACCGAAGATACAGCCTGCTAAACTTTGTCTCAATTTTTAGTGAACACATATTACTCTCATGGGCTTCTATGTAATCCACAGATCAGCTGATGATTACCAAGGTGAAGACATACACACCATCGGTTAGACAAAGCTCCAATCGGTTTTGTGTAATTATCTATTTGATATGTACACCATTTGCATTAGGTGGAATGCTCAACATTACTATATGCATAACATTTTTTTGCTACTCGGATGCGTCCAGTCTCCAAAGGTAGCATTTATTTACACACGACTCGGGAAAAAGACACCGTCCTAGAATCGCACGTTAGTACAGGCATAAAACGTTTTGATAAATGCGTACAACATGCACACTGCGCATTAAAGTGCTAATGCATATGGTGGTATGCCTACACAAGTATGTAAGTTCCCAACTACACCTGAGACAAATTGATAGGCTTTGATGGGGAAATAAGATTTAAAAACGAAATCGGGGTACAGCCATGCTGCAATAAAACATTTTGCAGGTGAACGTAATCCACATACTCTGAAGACCCTTTCTCACTGAACGGTCTCCATTCGCACAGATGCTCGCAGGCTATGGAATCCGTCTATGCATCGAGCTGTTTGAGGACTTGTGACTGTACACTTCCTTCACGCTTGCCTGTTCATCACAAAATTACAAAGTCTGTTCTTACCTGGATCCTTGCTTCCAAGTGACGGTCGTAACCGCCACCTGACATAATTAGTAATAACTATGTCACTCTAACACACTTCCTAGTTATTGGCTTTGTACTGTTTCCCTACGGAAGTAGTTTCCCTACGTGTGCTAGCAACGCAGACACTGTTTAGACCACTCTTGGCGAGATACAGTCAGACTTTTGCAAGGCATTTCATTGACCGAACTTACTTTTCTTAAAAAATGCACACGGCTCACGGCCATTATCGAACGGCAGCCGACAGCCGACAGTACAGGCTAACAGTTGCTTTTTAATATCCACATGTAGGGTACATTTCTGCAAAATTTTCTTATTTGTAGTTTCCATTTCCCAGTAAATTCATTAATCATGATACCACCGGAACCATTGGCCATCTACGCTAACTTAGAAGAAGCGATCCGTGTTGAGCTCTAATTAGATTCTGCTAATTTCCAGCACCACTGCGCCATTTCTCAGTACGGCAGTTTTTTTTTTGCCACCGCTGTCCCGCACCGCCCAACAGCCTGCCCACCTAGCCTCAATTGATCGGGGCGTCATTTCCGCTGAGCACAGCCCAACGAGCCGTTTACATGAGGCGGCGGCGGTCGATAGGGCCGCAGCTCGGCCCGGCCGGCTCAGTTCTGGATAAAATACACTGATTCCTTACAATGGCCGAAAGCTCGTATACCGGAATAACGCCGCAAGATCATCTACAACATTCAAAGTGCGTATAAAACATTGAGAAAAAAAAACTTGCAAAAGAATAGTGACCAAGATGTGGGTGTTTTTTTAATAGATGGTATTATGTCAAACATATTTGTCATATCGTTTTGAAACTATCCATCGTCTTTGCTAATCGAACGGTTAACCGTTATTGCTGATAATTGTTCTGTTTTGTACAGCATTTAAAACCAACAGGTATAGGCGGCGGAACGGGGAGGGCACCGGGGCACCGTGCCAGATTTTGGCATTTTTACATTAGCCCTATGGGCGTTGCATGGAAAGAATGGGACCAAAATTCGGCAGTGCCCCCCCCCCTTAATTGAGGGTGTTCCGCCGCTACTGCCAACAGGCATGACTGTGTATGACAGTTTTGCAACGTAAACGGTATAGCCAGTTTAATTAATTTGTCCTGATATTTTAAGCATTGCACTCCAAAGCGGATCATAGGCATGCTATAAATTATTGTTTTTTGAATGTAGTCTAAAATAATCCTCGAGCGCTATGGCATCTTCCATATAAGTGAGCTCTGTCTCTATAAACACTAAGCAGTCTTAGTCTATATGAAGCTTTCAGTCATGCTTTCTAGATTGTTCGGCTAACCGCAGCTCCCTGTTAAGCCTGAGTGAGCTCCTTCAATAGTCAACTTGCTTCAAAGCCCATCAATTAGCTTGCATTCGCTCGCAATGCAGCAATATCACCTGAGTTCAGATCAGCTATTGGTTTGTATTGCTTAGTTCTACAAGCAATGGCTGCAGTGGTTTCATGACTCTGATTTTCATCCCATCGGACATTTTACATTTTTACCCTCGGCCGACCTCAGATTAGCTCCGATATGTTTCCCGTATAGCAAAAGTTAGCTCTCAGCTTTATCAGCTCAGCTAGAGGGCGGTTCGCGACAGGTGATGATGTAGAATATTTTGATGTAGGCCGCCCGGAACTCAGCGCTACTGATGCCGTAGAGGATGGGGTTGACGGCCGAGTTGATGTAGGCCATCCAGTAGGAGAACTCGACGAACCAGCCCGGGAAGAAGTCCGGGTACCAAGCGCTGATCTGCAAACCAGAGGACATCGTGGGCACGAATGTCAACCTCAATAAATTACCTACAAAAGATTTCATTTTCAATTTGAACTAGCGCCTAACTCATCGATTCAAGGCGTGAAGGAACGCCGCAAGGGTCAAGCCAAACAATACATTGAAATAAGACACCACAAACAGCAAGCAAAGAGCACCAAAGCTGGGGCTCTTACCACAAACAGTAGGTAGAAGGGCACCCAGCAGACGGCGAACACGCCAATAATAGAGAGCAGGGTCATGACGGCCTTCTGCTCGCGTTTCCTCCGCTGCTCCTCCTTGTCGTCCGCCACTACCACTGCCTTCTTCTCGTCAACCTCGCCATCCACCTGCGATCAAAAAGGGTTGGTGAAAAACACAGAGTCTGTCATAGGTCTACAAGGCATTAATTACGTCTTGTACTGTTCTAATTAAAATCGTTACAGACAGAAAACATTAAACAATGAAAATTAAACAGCCAAAGCTATGTAAACCTGTAATAACTATTACCCTTTGAACAGAGGAAAGTGGAGTGATAAAGAGCACCCAAAGATAATTGCTTACCGTTGCGACTTGCACCTTTTTGCTGTCTCGGATTTTCCGTGCTCGTTTTCTCATCACGTACAGAATGCGACTGTATGCTCCAATCATCGTCAGAAACGGCATGTAGTATCCGAGGAAGCCGACATAGATCACCTGGAAACCACCAAAGGTTGACAAGTCAACATACAGGGCATACTTGCTCTGATCAGGTAGGTGGCGGTTTGGTGAGGTAGGCACCGGTTCCTCAGAGGACCTGTGCTAACCAGGTCCCGGTTCCTAAGTCCATTCGTCCCACTTCCGTTCTCACCAGGTCTCGGCTCCTCAGGCCCCGTTCTCGGTCCCTCAGGCATAATCTAGGTTTTCACTAGGTAGTGATGAAAGCGATTCCTCAGATACTACCAGTTTCGTCCTTTACCTATACCTGGTTAGAGGTTCCTCAGCCCCGTGCTGACCAGGTAGGCTAGAGGTTCCTCAGCAGTCAGCACTCGGCGGGTCCCAGGTCCGCTCTCACCACGCAGCGGCTCCTCATAGAGTCCCAGTTCCGTCCTTACCAAGCCTCGGTTCCTCCGCGGTCCCTTTGCCCCGTGCTCACCAGATATCGGTTCCTCAGCGGGTCCCAGTAGCAGTCCCCTGGAGCGTAGTCGTTGGCCACTCGGTCGTAGATGAAGGCCGGCAGCCAGATGGCATTCACCACACACCAGGTGACGCACAGCAGCGCCAGACACTTTTTCGGGCTGTACGTGTTTCGGTAGTGGGTGGACCACGTCACCGACCAGAAGCGATCGATACTGCCGGGAACACCGAGTGATCGGGAATGATCAGCGTCAATTACTAGAACTGAAAAAGGAGCGCTAGTGTCTTTACCAGGCGCAGATACTGGGGAAAACAATTTAGATGTTTTAACCCTCGCCGGACTTATTGGTTTTCTACAAACGCGCGGCCGAGGGGGGGGGGGGTTGGTACGACCCCTTCGCCGTTTTGCCCCTGATGGAGTTAGAGCGTCGCAGAAAAAAACGGACGTGTGTGCTGTTACGAGAAGCAGCGAGTGGTACCCGATTTTAAGGTCTCAGGTCAACCGGTAATCTCTGAGGTCAGGTCTAGTCACCCAAGGCACGGGTTCAGTTTTTCATTAATAATTTCGCAAAAACAAAACGGTCGCAGAGTCGCAATTTTGGCATAATCGTGTTCGCTTCACCCAGGCGCGTCGAATGGTGTACTTTTGGATCGGGTCAGGTCAACTTGAGGTGTTGACCTTGGGTTAAGGTCAGGTCAGCGTCCCCCAGGTCACGAAGCTGGTCGAAGGAGGTCATGTTGCATATCATTCGATTCGGCAGGTGTTCCTGAGTTCATTGGTGGCTTTCCCGACTCGCTAGCTTAATTTGATCGGAGGATGACGAAATTGTTTGATTTATTGACAAAAAACTCCTATGACCCAAGTGACATCATAAATGACGTCACGCAAGATCAGCAATGCAAAAGAGGAGCATCGGACCTAGCAAATAGTGCAAGAAATCACGATTTCGTGTGCTTGAGATAGTTTGAGATCGTTTCCGGCGCTAAATAGCAGTTTTCATTTTCCCCCATTGACTTAAAATGATGGGGTCACGTAACCGACCTAATCTCATGTGACCTGACCTTTAAAAAAAATCCGAGATAATTAAGTCGTGAGACCTCTGGAGGATACCATATCATGTAAGTTTCATCTCCCTTTGAAAGTTCCTCTATGGGGGGGGGGGGGGGCACCCGCTCCTCTCGGTCGGCGAGGGCCGGACCTATTGGTTTTCTACATACGCGCCGGCCGAGGGGGGGTATAGCCCCCCTCGCCGTTTCGCTCCTGGTGGAGCTAGCGCGTCGCGAAAAAAAAACGAGCGTGTGCGCCGTAACGGCGCACATGACGTTAGATTGGTACTCGATTTTAAGGTCATAGGTCAACCGGTGACCGCTGAGATGCAGGTCAAGTGGCCCAAGGTACGGTTCCGTTTTTGGTGAATAACTTCGCAAAAAACGGCCGCAGAACCGCGATTTTGGCAGCATCGTGTTCGCCTCGCTCAGGCGCGTCGTATGATATACTTTTTGTTTGGGTGAGGTGAACTTAGGGTGTTGACCTCGGGTCACGGTCAGGTCAGCGCCCCCAGGTCACGAGATTGATCGAAGGAGGTCATGTCGCATACCATTCGATTTGGCAGGTCTTCCTGAGTCCATTGCCATTGGTGGCTTTCTCGACTCGCTAGCTCAATTTGATCGGGATTATTGACAAAAAAAAACTAATATGACCCTAATGACGTCATAAATGACGTCACGTAGGGTCAACATTGCAAAAGTGACTCATCGAACCTTGCAAGGAGTGCGCGAAATCACGATTCTGTGTGCTTTAGATAGTTCGAGATCGTTCCCGGCGCCAGAAAAACAGTTTCCATTTTTCCCCATTGACTTATAATGGTGAGGTCACAAAAATGGCCTGACCCCATATGACCTTTAGGAAAATCCGAGATATACAAGTTGTGAGACTCAATGGATACTAGCTCCTGAAATTTTCATATTCCTGTGAAAGCTCCTCTGGCAGTTTGACCAATGCATTGGTCAGGGACCTGACCCGACCCGAAAATGCTGTTGAACGGTCAAAAGATTCGCTTTGAAGCAAATGTCAGGTATGCCAAGTTTCAGCTCTCTACATCGCCGGCGTGTTCGGAGTTATCGCGAAAAAACCCTAGGGGGGGGGGGGCGGCACCCACCCACCCCCCTCGGCCGGCGAGTGTAAAGGCGTTGACCTCTGGTCAAGGTCAGGTCAGCGCCGCTCAGGTCATGAAGTTGGTCGAAGGAGGTCCATAATGTAGGCATATCATTCGATTGGGCAGGTCTTCCCGAGTCCGCTGGTGACTTTCCCAACTCGCTAGCTCAAATTGATCGAGGGTTACTGACGAAAAACTGCTATGACCTTAGGTCATAAATGACGTCACACAAAGTCAACGATGCAAAAGTGAAGCTTTGGACACTGCGAGGAGTGCATGAAAGCACGATTCTATTCCATGTACTTGAGGTAGGTTTGGAGTTTAGATCATTTCCGGCGCCAAGAAAGCATGTCCTTTCCGTATTTCCCTTTCGACTCTCAATGGTGAGGTCACGTGACCTGAATGACTGATCTCATGTGACCTTTGGATAAATTTCGATAAATAAAAGTTGTGCGAACTCTACCAGGTCCCTTAGTAGGGGGGGGGGGTTGGATGGACCCCCCATGGTTTTTCGCAAATAACTCGCGTAAAAAGCGGCCTATCGCGACGAAACTTTCAGTACCCTCGCATTGACCAATATTACACCTACCCTGAAAATTTCATGACCCTGACCCAAATGACCTTTGACCTGTGACCAGGGGCGGATCCAAGGGGGGGTCACATGGGTCATGCCCCCCCCTTGAGGCCCGGGGGCCCAAAGACCTGTCAGGGGCACCACCGGCCTATCAGGGGTATCACAGTCCTGACAGGGGCACCACAGGACCGCCAGGGGCACCACAGGCCTAGCAGGGACACCACGGGCCTGGTGCCCCTGGGCCCTGACAGGACTGTAACGCCCCTGACAAGCCTGAAGTGTCCCCGGCAGGCACGTGGTGCCCCTGACAGGCCTGAGGCGCCCCTGCAAGGCCGATGGTGCCCCTGGCAGGCCTGTGGTGTCCATGGCAGGCCTGTGGTGCCCTTGCTAGGCCTCTGGTGCCCCTGATAGGCTTGTAATGCCCCTGGAAGGACTGTGGTGCCCCTGGCAGGCCTCTGGTGCCCCTGACAGGCTTGCGGTGCCCTTGGAAGGACTGTGGTGTCCCTGGGCCCTGACAAGCCTGAGGTGCCCCTGACAGGCCCGTGGTGCCCTTGTTAGGCCTGTGGTGCCCCTGGCAGGCCTCTGGTGCCCCTGGCAGGTCTGTGGTGCCCCTGGCAGGTCTGTGGCGCCCCTGGCAGACCTGTGTTGACTGGTGCCCCTGCTAGGTCGCTGGTGCCCCTCACAGACCTGTGGTGCCCCTGGGCCTTGACAAGCCTGAGATGCCTGGCTATGACAGGCTCGTGGTGCCCCTGATAGAACAGTGGTGCCCTTGCTAGGCCTGTAGTGCCCCTGGCAGGCCTCTGGTGCCCCTGCTACCCCTGCGCCCGGAGAGGACTATGGTGCCCCTGAAAAGCCTGAAGTGCCTCTCGACAGGCCCGTGGTGCCCCTGACAGGCCCAAGTTACCCCTGCGAGGTCGGTGGTGCTCCTGACAGGCCTCTGGTGCCCCTGGCAGGTCTGTGGTGCCCCCCTGGCAGGCCTGTGTTGACTGGTGCCCCTGCTAGGCCGCTGGTGCCCCTCACAGGCCTGCGGTGCCCCTGGAAGGACTGTGGTGCCCCTGCCCCTAGGGGTGCTCATGGGCCCAACAGGCCCGTTGTGCCCCTGACAGGCCTGTCGTGTATACTTGCTAGACCTGTGGTGCCCCTGCTTCCTGGCAGGCCTGTGGTGCCCCTGCTTCCTGGCGGGCCTGTGGCGCCCCTACAAGGCCGTAGGTGCCCCTGACAGGTTTGTGGTGTCCCTGGAAGGACTTTGGTGCCCCTGACAAGCCTGAAGTGTCAAGGACAGACCCTTTAGACGCCAGGGTCAAGTTCGTCGGACTGACAACGATTCGCTTACCTGATAACGTTCCTGGTAAGTACTCACTACTCAGCGTCCACAACATATATACACATAACACATTCATATATACTTGCTTACAATTGGTAAATGTGGTTGTGGGTAAGAGTTAAGATACTGACTAAAAAAAAAAAAAAACTGAAAATGGGGGCACCACCAAAATTAAGTGGACGAAATCCGTTGAGTTTTTAATTTTGGGTATAGGTAGGGGCACCACTTCGATTCATGACCCTCCCCTTGGAGTTTTCCTGGATCCGCCCCTGCCTGTGACCTCTTTTCCGAGACCATGTTTGGCCGGAATCGCGATTCCGCGTATGTCGGCTCGCATTAGCTGCGCGTTTGCAAGCTTTTCGTAGTTTCAAACGTTCAAACATGTGATTTGATGTTGCTCCCATGCATTAGAGTGGGTGTCAAGGTCACCTGATGGTCAGGTCAGGTCATTGACCTTTGGTGACCTCGGGTGACCTCGGTTCACTTTTTCGAGTTTTACATGTCTCTAGGCTAGTTTTTGGAGCTGAATTTGAATTTAGCAACCATTTGAACATTTACGAAGTAGTTTTGGTGCCTTCGTATCATGTTACGTAGCTGTCAGAGGCGGTTGACACCACGGGTGGAGAATTGTGCTGGACTGGGGGTGCTCGAGCTCTTCCAATTCCACGCCGGCTTGGCTTTGGAGCCGCGGCCGGGCGGCGCGGGTCAAGGTCACCGATAGGCGGCGGCGGATTTGCTGCGCCCGAGCACCCCCAGCTGGTCACAATTCTCCACCTATGGTTGACACGTACTACGAATAGGTACCCGTCACGACACCTACTGGTTGACCTGACCTGACCCGACCTGGTCTAAATGCTTAAAGACATCATCTGTGATCAAAACTAACACGATATTCGTGATCAGCACCCCGAAAAACCCCTTAGCACCCACACTTTACGACTTTCTAATAGGTCCCGATTTTCCCGACTTTGGGTCATTGACATGACCTGGAAGGTCAACCAATGACCTAGGACCTTAACATTGGGTATCATCGGCTTCCTCTCATGACGGGCAACACGCTCGTTTTTTTCCGCGAAGCTCTAGCTCGAACAGGGGCTAAACGGCAAGGGGGGGGGGGTCCAACCGACCCGACCCCCCCCCCCCAACACACACACACATTAGAAGCTGGCGAACGCCGCACACATGCGAGGGTTAAGTCCCATCTCCCTGTGCTTCTCTGGCACTGAGGACATTGCGAAGTTGCCACATTTTAGAACCGTGCAGAGGTTCACTTATGACGTCATGAGTCAGTGACCTGACCTGAAAATAAGGTTGGTGAAGGTGTCATAGAGATCTTATATACATGGAAGGTGTGGAAGGTGTGACAAGATCCGGCTTGAATCAAAAGTCAGATATACCGAGATTCAGCTCTCTAACGCCGGCGTGTTCGGAGCTATCGCGAAAAAACCTTTGGGGGTGTGGGGGTGCGGTTCCCCCTCGGCCGGCGAAGGTTAACCCTCGCCGGACCTATTGGTTTTCTGCATACGCGCCGGCCGAGGCGGGGGGGGGGGGGGGGGGGGGGTACGACCCCCTCGCCGTTTCGCCTCTGTTGGAGCTAGCGCGTCACGAAAAAAAAAACGAGCGTGTGCGCCGTTACGAGACAAAGAGATTGAAATCCGATTTTAAGGTCCTAGGTCAACCGGTGAAGGTACGGTTCCGGTTTTGGTGAATAACTTCGCAAAAAACGGCCGCAGAGCCGCGATTTTGACAGCATCGTGTTCGCCTCGCTCAGGCGCGTCAAATGATAAACTTTTTGTTTGGGTGAGGTCAACTTAGGGCGTTGACCTCAGGTCACGGTCATATGTCAGCACCCCCAGGTCACGAAATTGGTCTAAGTAGGTCATGTCGCTTATCATTCGATTCGGCAGGTCTTCCTGAGTCCATTGGTGGCCTTCTCGACTCGCTAGCTCAATTTGATCGGGAGTTATTGACGAAAAACTAATATGACCCTAACGACGCCATAGATGACGTCACGCAAGGCCAACATTGCAAAAGTGACGCATGTAACCTTGCAAGAAGCTCATCAAATCACGATTCTGTGTCCTTGACATAGTTGGAGATCGTTCGCGGCGCCAAAATAGCAGTTTTCATTTTTCCCCATCGACTTATAAAGGTGAGGTCACGAAAATGACCTGACCTCATATGACCTTAAGGAAAAATCCGAGATATACAAGTTGTGAGACTCGCAATGGATATTAGATCCTGCAAGTTTCATTTCCCTGTGAAAGCTCCTCTGGCAGTGAGGGCGTTGCGAAGTTGCGACATCTGAAGACCGTGCAGAGGTTCTCTTATGATGTCATAGGTCAGTGATCTGACCTGACCCTAAATGCGGTTGGTGTCAAAAGATCCGGCTTGAATCAAAGGTCAGGTATGCCAAGTTTCGGCTTTCTATCGCCAGCGTGTTCGGAGCTATCGTGAAAAACCCTATGGGGGGGGGGGAGGCGGCACCCTCCCCCCCCTCGGCCGGCGAGGGAACACCGAAAGGTCCGACGAAGGTTCATATGATGGCGATGGTGAACGAAGTAATGATAAGATGGAGGTCGACGACCTCGCTAAAAATCAATTTAAAGCAATGCAATACTTCGGCGCTATCCGCCTTTAGCCTTATGGGTGAGGGTAAGTACATCTAGATTGTTAATTGGCTTTGATTTGCTCCGCTAGCGTTCAAGCGCTCACCTAATAGTCATCAGGGTGAACACCGACTCGAAGGTCATGGTGTAGTCGCTCCACACCCAGTAGCCGCAGATGAAGTTGTTGAACGGGAAGTAGCCGAACAGGTTGTAGATGGCGAACAGTGACATCACCGACATGCCCACGTTCATGTCGGTGATGGCCAGGTTGACGATGTAGTAGTTGAAGGGCGTCTGCAGCTTCTTCTCCACCTTGACCGACATCACCACCAGCAGGTTGCCGAAGATGGTCTCCAACATGATGAGCAGCTGGAAGACGAACAGCATCACCTTGGAGGTGGACCAGGCGATGCCGCCGGCGCCCAGCGGCTCGGCGTCCGTTGTGTTGTTCATCTCTCGGCGACTCTGCTCGTAGTCTGTGTGGTGAGACCGCTGCTCGCTTGTGTAGTAGGACAACACCCCGCTGGTGTGGTCTGAGTCGATTGAGAAGGATTTTCGAAAGGACAGCGGAGGATATGGAAAGGGACGGTGCTGATGAGGCGCAGCACCTAGCACAAGCGCGATCCAGGTTGGACCGGCAGCAGGAGTCCCGTCTGCCACCGAACCACCACTGGTCTCAGGACGGGGAGTTCGAGTCCTTGGACAGACCAGCGGGCCACCCAGACGAGTCTCCGAACAAACACGAACTGGCGCCCATCTCCGGACGAGTCCCGGGGGCCGACCGACTTCTGCACACAACACCTGCCGATGGCGCTCCATTACAGAGCCGAGAGCGACCCTTTGCGTGCCGACCCGACTAAAAATACCGCCTCTGACGTCCACAGGAATGGACCCGGGGCGACAGCGGTCCGCGCTCGGTCTGTGGCCGGTCCCGGGAACGACACATCCCCGCAGGCACCCAGGGTCAGCCGGGCACCGAAATAGTCTGATTAGTACCGATGAGGTGGCCAGAATAGCGACTGATCACTGGAAGCCGCCGCCGGCCGAGCGGTCCAACTAATCCTCAACATTAAACCAGGCACGCGAGCGGATAATTGCAAAGGATAAACGTATATTCAAGCCTCAAAGTGAACAAATGTCTTCCCGACCGGGCAATAACGCGTAATGGCCAACTCAAAAGAGCCAAACGAACAACAAAATAATCACACTCTGCTAGCTCCAGTGACCCCCAGAAGCTCGGCGACCCACTCTGCACCGAATCACGATTGGCGTAAATGTTTTCCGCGTAACTGCACCTTATATAAAGATATATACCTAGGCGTTTTCCCGTATCGGTAGCTCCGTACACCATTCATTCAGTCAGTCCCCGCTCCACTGGCACACACCGAAGCGCGCCCCGGCGGGCGGCGATGCCCGGCTCACAGCGCCTGATTACCCAGTCCGCGGCGGTGGCGCCCCTGGCGGCCGATACGGCCAGTACTCTCTCAGTCTCAGATGGCGTCACGCAGGTCCCAGGTGCCGGGGTCGGCGCGTGCCGCCTTTCCGGTCGGCGCCGGCAGCTCGGCGCCGTTACTGCGCTGTCCGCCCGGCTCCGAGACTCTGAGCAGACGCGTCTCGGCCATCTGTAGGTGCTGCTTCACCGCCTGGTACCGCTCATCCATCGCCTGCCGGCGGCACACGCACGTCAGATGACTGGCGTGAGATACAGCACAACATACAAAGACAGAAAAGACAGCTTTCCTCTACACACAAACACATTACCACACACCGCTCTCCTGCCATTCTCCTCCCATTATGATCTGCTCTTCACGCCAGTCACTCTTCTCACCTGAATCTGCTCGTGGTGACGCACGCGCATGGCCTCCATGAGCCGGCGCAGCTCGCTGATGGTCAGCTCTCGGTCTCTCAGCTGCTGCTCCAGGCCGCTGGCGACCGCCTCGGCGCGGCGGCGACCCTCCTCGTCTGGCGGCGGTGGCGGCGGCTCCAGCTGAGCCCACGGGTCGCCGCCGGCGGCCGGGTCGGCGGCGGAGGGCGCAACGCCACTGACAGGCTGCCGCAGCTGGCCGACCATCAGCAGACGGCGCTCCAGCTCCAGCACACGCGCCTGGGACGGTGAAACGTGGAAATGTAAGTCTTGGGCATACCATAAACAGATGAGAAGCTGAAGTGAGATAAACAGCAGCGGCAAACCATGAGCAGCATCATGGAAGCTAGTGCGGTGGCTGCAAGCCAGGGACCTCAAAGGTCACGTCCAGGAAAGCGCCACTTTTCTCCCGTGCCAAGCCGGCCGATTCGCACGCGACCCCCGCGCTCCTCACCTCCAGTTCCGACTTTCTGAGCGCCTTCTCCTGCGAGTAGGCCAGCTGCCGCTCGGTGTCGAGCAGCTGGCAGCGGGCCTGCTGCAGCTGCTCGTCCTGCTGTCGCAGCTGCGCCGCCAGCTGGTCGCTGGCGCGGCGCTGCTCCTCCAGCCGCGCCTCCAGCTGCTCGCGCAGACGACACTCCTCTGCGGCGCGGTGCTCCAGCCGGAGGGCGGCGGCTCGGTGCTCCTCGCCGGCGCGCACCGCCTGCCGCTTCACCAGCTGCAGCTGCCGGTTACACTCGGCCACGTCTACAGACATCACCTCCACCTGACGGATAGGGTGACCGCACGGGAGGACCGGTCAGCATCGGTACTGAGCGAAACATTGGACATAGGAAGTTACTGATATTCAGCTCAGTGCTTCGCATGTTTGATGTCCTGTCTTCAGCCCACAGCTGCTACGCTCTCCTCTCACCCCAGCTACCCATTTCACCAAAGGCACACAGTGTCACTGAAATGCCTCTTCATATCGCGGCCTCCCTCACGTCTAGCCTTTCACCAAACATACTCACCCTGACAAGTCGCTTCAGCCCGTAACCCCTCCCCTCTCCCACATATCCCTTCCCCTTTGCCCACGACTGACCTGTCTCTTCAGCTCGCGATTCTCCTCCTCCAGTCGTCGGGTGGCGCGCGTGCGGTCGAACAGGCGTCGGTTTCTGTGGGCGTGCACCTCGCGCTTGTACCGCTCGTACAGTAGCAGCTCGTGCATCAGGCGGGCGTTCGGCATCGTCTGTGAGACGTGCTCACGTAGCAGCTGGTGCGGCGATAGTGTAACCTGATGAAAGGGAGAGAAAAAGCGCTGTTATGGAGAAACACAGGACGGGCTTTCAACAAGCAGCGTTACCAGCAGAATGCTCTCAAGTCCCCAAATATGGCATGTCATATAGCTGATACCGAATTATAGGGAAATATAAGAGCAGACGCAACTAACAAGCTCACCATAGATCCCATATGATGGCGGATTCGACAATTGTGTTTCACTTTTGAACCCTGTGTTACGTTCAGTGCAAGGTTTTAAATCACACGCCCCAACTCAGCCTGGTCGGTGAGTGCGTCTCACGCTGACCTGCTGGTGCGGGACGGCCGGCGGCGGCGGCAGCGCCACCGTCAGCAGGTGCTCGTACGCCGACGGGTGGTGCGTGTCCTCGGTCTGACAGCCGGTGTCGGAGCGGCGCGTCGGCGGCTGACGGGCGGGCGTCACCGCCGGCGCCGGCGCCGGCTCCGTCAGCGCCGCCACGTCCGGGCACGAGCTGGTGCGCCGGTGCTGGCGGCTCGGCAGCACGTGCTGGCTGTAGTAGCGGGTCATGTGGCGCACCAGGTCGAAGTCGAGCCGACTCTGCGGCAGCGAGGCGGCCAGCACCGGCGGCGGTGAGTCCTCCTCCTCTCGGTCACCGGTGGCCGAGCGGCACGGGATGGCCGCCGCCGCCGTCACTGGCAGCCGCAGCGGGTGCGCCTGCGTCAGCTGCGCCGTGGTCGACGCGAACGGCGTCAGGTTGCCGGAGGTGGCGGCCGTCGGCGGCTGCAGCCGGGTCAGGTCGCTGACCTCGCGGTCCTCTGCCGAGTGGTCGGCGGCGCAGTCGGACCAGTCGCCGGTGGCCGGCCGGGACGGGGTGCCCGGGCCGCGCCACGGAGCGCCGCCCGACGCCGACGACGAGCCGGAGGTGCCCGAGGTGCGGGGCACCGGCCGGGTGACTGGCGGCGGGCCCTCGGCAAACTGCACCGGGGATACCACCGGCGCCACTGGGAACGGACACGGGACGGTTACAGACGGGCACTGCTGCCTCAGACGGTCATGAACAGTAGCACAGGACGGTCACAAACGGTAATAAGGTCTCGAGACATAAGCACTCAACACGTCTTGAAGTTATCACATACAAGATACGCCATTTTATATAATTCTTCGGCTACCGGATGGCCGGCAACCTTTAAGCAAACGGGCATGCCTGTCGCATCTCAGACGTCACTATTGTGTATTTACAATAAATCGGCCAGCACCACCAGGCCAAACTTATACTCGTAATTCATGCAAGCCATCACTTTGCAGCTTATTATAAAGGCCACATTACCAAAACACATTGACATTCCCTTTCCATCCCCAAAGCGAATAGACAGATCCAATGAAGTACCAGTATCGTTTTCAGCACAGTATACATATCTGTCGGCCAAATGATCAATAGATACCTGAAAGTCAAGACTTAAGTCATCCACAAGGGTCATGCCAGCTCAAAAGGTGGAAAATCAATTCAGGTAGTCGTCAAACTGAATGATGCTTCGGTCAGCAATAAAGCAGCAGAGCAATATGACAAAAATTAGCACACAGACTGGCATTAACTCAGCACACTGTCGACATGCCCGAATCGGAACACAGCTGAGTTCTACTTACCAATGAGTTGAGCTTCCCATCAACCGATTAAGAAGAAACCATGCTAGACCGGCTGCTGGGACTACCCTGTGTTGTGGGGGTGGTGTTGGCCCTAATTGATATACCAGTCTGATTGTCAGCTAGCCCCAAATGTGTCCGGTGGCTGTACTGTAGAAGATTTAAGCCAGATATCGGAATTGAACGGGACCCTAAAAATCGTGATCGAAAACGCGAAACTGACGCTAGCAAGTCAAGAAGTCCGCTTTGTGGCCGAGAAATTACCGATTTCGATGGCAGAACAGCAAAATGTCGAGTAAAAATCGTAAAAACTTTATCATTTTGGAATGGCCCCGGTGCAAAAAATGCGGTAATTGTAACAAACCTGAATTGTAAATCTTACCATTTCAGAGTTAAGTCAAAGTAACGGGCTGGCAGACCTAAATCACAAAGTCCATGTCCTCGTGACCGGTGTCGGTACGCGTGAGCGGGGACCCATTATCGGGCTGGTGTCAGTTTGTCCGCGATCCGTCACCGGTGTCTGTGCGTGTGGGCGGCTCACGTTTCAGTTTGATGGGGCTCAGTTTGCCGGAGGTGCGCCGGTCGCGCAGGCCGCTGACTGACGGCAGCGGCGCGGGGGCGGCCGCCTCCTCGACGAGGGCGGCTCTCTCCTGCTGGCCGCCGCCGCCGGCAGCACCGCCTGCCGCCGAGAGCGAGCTGAGAGCGGCCGGCCGCGCACCACACCGCGCCACACCCCCACCGGGACCGAGCAGCCCGCCCGCGCCCGCCGCAGCAGCACCGCCTAGCGCACTACGCAGCCGCGTACACACACAGACAGCCGGGGGTCTACTGGGGAGTGGTGCAGTCGTAGAGGACAGCGGGCATGCGGCTCGCACAAAGGATGGGTAAATCGGCTCAGGAGTAGATGTATTCAAAGCGAGCAGTTTAAAAAAAAAATGGATGTAGAGGGCAAGGGGAAATCTGCAATCTTATTTTACCATTTACCGTGGATGTCATACAGGATTTTATCCTGGAAAGGAAATAATTGTGATTCAAGGATATTTTTCTGGGTGGTCGCCATTACTTTATTCAATATGTACAAAAATAATATGAACTAGAAAATTATCAGCATCATTGAAAGGCAAAGGCAGGTCAAGTTTAAAACCGTAGCATACTATTGAAAACAAGGGAAAGCAATTAAAAAATAGGCATCAACCAATATCAAAACAAGAGCTGCAAACAAGAAACACATCCAACACTCAATCCCAACAATGGCATGCAGCGTATGTCCTAAACACAATCGGAAATCCATCAAACACCAAACCGGCAAAAAGTAAAGCAACACAAGGCGAATATGTCTCAATCTGATCAGCAAAACGTTTAATCACAGCAGCACTGCAAGCATCCGGGGGCATGCAGCAGCTGTATCGTGCACCGCGGTCGACCTGACCCGGACACGCGGTCAGCCCCGGTGACCTCTGGGTCAGTCAGGGGTCAGGTCAGGGGTCGGGGTCAGCCAGGAGGGACGTACCTCCAGAGTCGGCCCGCTCGGTCAGAACCTGACCCAGTCGGCCGCTGAAGGGATGTTGTTGCTGCTGCTGCTGCGAGTGGTCACTTTCAATAAACCTGTCAAGCACGAGGAACATGGGTCACTCTTTGAACGTCACCCTCAACGGACGCCACCGCCAGTTAGTCACAAGCCAACAATGTTGGTCACTCTTCGAACATCGCCTTCGCCGAATGCCAGATCCAGCAGTATTCGTCCCCATCCCCTCTGGTGTTCGGTACAGCGACGCTGCAAGCCCTACCTGAAGGGTGCAGCCGGTTTCTTCTGTGGTGAGGTGGGAGTCGAGTCGGTGGTAGTCGGGGTCGTCTGCTTGGGGCCGACCAGGGCTGCCAGCGCGTGCGACGCCTGGACAGAGGCCGACGTGGGCCGTAGTAGTGGAGGGTTCTCTAAATCCTGCGATACCCGGAGACAAGTGGACAGTGATCAGATACAGGAGTAAAAGAGAGACAAACGAGCTGCATAATGCTTCAAACTATCCCTCAAAGACAGACGGGCATTTGATTTTTCTTTTATCGCTAAAAATACCATTTTTACAATACGTCAAGTATAAGTATGTCACGTAGACAAAAGCAAACAAGAATATTTGGCTTAGACTTAACGGTGTGAACATGGACATCGGTCGGTCTTATCCATCTCACCCGCTGCGATGTGACGGTCGGTGTCGGCGGTGGTACAAACACCGTCCATCCCCCCCCCCTCACCCGCTGCGGTGTGACGGTCGGTGTGGGCGGGGGTACAGACACCGTCCATCCCCCCTCTCACCCGCTGCGGGGGGTACAGACACCGACCATCCCCCCCCCTCACCCGCTGCGGTGTGACGGTCGGCGTCGGCGCCGGGGTGCTCTCCGGCGTGGCCTCCACGGCTGTCTCACAGCCGGTGCCTCCCTCCGCCTCCCCGGCCGCCGAGCGGGCCGCGAACGTGGCCGGCGAGCAGAGGATGTCGTGGATGCCCAGCACCTCCTGGTCGCCCAGACCGACGTCCGTCGGACCCAGAGCGTCTGAACAGAACGGGACGGAGGAGAGCGTGAAAACAGAGACGGAGAAATCGGTGAAAATCAAACAAAATAGTTCAGAAGACAAGGAAGAAAAAAATGAAAAATATGCGAAGAAAGAAAACTAAAAACACGCCGTAAAAATAAAACAAATTAGGAGTAAAAATGATACTATTAAACAGAAAAGATAGAAAGGAAAAGTAAAGCAAATAAGATACTTTAGAAAAAAAGCGAAGGGAAATAGCGTACATCGGCCACCCTAACCCAATGACGACATACTCTGCGGTCTTCCATAACGTAAACAAACCGCGGTCCAGTCAGTAATGAGATCACCACGGGCATGAGACGGTGGCGGCCGCGTGCCACGGAGCTGGCGGGCGGCGCTTAACCGACATGTTTACCATAGTCCGATAACAGCCGTCTGCAAAAACTTCTCCTCGCACCCCGGCCCTTCTTCCACGCCCAAACACCACTGGTATCCGCAAATGTCACACATTGCGCCGGTATTAGATACGAGCCTCTCCAACCATCCCGTAGTATCGCAGGTCAGGTAAGGTCAAGGCCAGGTCAAAGGTCACCACGCAAGCGCACTCACCAGCCTCATCGTGCGCAGACAGGCTCCAGAGCGGCCCGCTCACGTTGTCCATCGCTGACGCCTCCAGAATATCCAGTGAGAAATGTGAGCACTCTGCCACGATGTCGTGCGTTTCCTTGCGCTGCCAGCGGTGCGGCGATGTCTCGGTCGAGTTGGAACCGGTCACCAGCAGGGGATGCATTCGCACGTGCTGCAGCAGTGGCTGCAAGCGGCGGGGGAGGGGAGGGGAGGTCAGATGCCCGGCGGAATGTCACCAGCCGCCAAAACAGGCCACTCAGAAACAGATGTTTACCAACGACGATCAGGCTAACGATACCAATGCACTTGGTGTTCAACCACCGATCTCGCTCACTGTTTTGGGACGGTATTTTAGCATTACAAAACCATTCATTCGTAACACACCACTTTATAAGCCGTTGTGATTATCGACAACCAAATGCATATCTCGTATTTTACGTTGCCCGTTATATTCACGGTCATATCTTGGCCGGCCCTGTCCGTCCGTCCACCCTTTCTAACCCGTATAGTCCTGTTGAAGACGGGCAGGCTGTCGCGCTGGCCGTAGTGCTGACGCAGGTAGCTGAGCAGGTTACACGGGTACATGGCGTACACTCGTACAAAGTACGAGTACGTGGCCACGTGCAGGTGCAGCTGGTGTGTCTGACTCAGATGGGTTGACGGACTGGAGACCATCTGCGTCAGTCGGCTGCAAGGAACAACAAAGGCGGAGGTCAGATCATCGGTAGGCCAGGTCAGAAAATGATTATCATGATAAAAATGTTGGGTTTTAGGAAGCCTAGGATGCCATTGGCGCCAATACAGCGGGAGCCTGATCTAAGTGATCAGTATGACGCCTATTGTGACCTCAGGTTGTTCCGGGATCCGAAGCCATATTGACTGCCTTAACTGCCGAGATGTCGGCTGTCTCGGTCGATAAAACTCGGTGTGGCCGGGCTGAGAGGATGTCGTAATTGAGCTCAGAATCGATCGGGTGGCGGAGGCCGGCACTGACTCCGTCGCCCGATCGATCACACCTGCTCCAGTGATGCAATCGAGCCGACACTGAGACCCGGCTGTGGCGTGTCGGGCAGGACACAATGTTCCTCTGTGGTACTTATCGTCATGTAACTACAATGGTGTCAATAACGTATCACACTGACTGTTAGCTATCACAGCTTCGTGCCACCCAAATATAAAACAAGACAGCATGCTTTAGAGCTTATATTTGACGCAATATGTGTACATTAACTTTGCCTTTAGCTAAACATCGTTATTTCAGTGTGTACAAAACATGGCATTACTAGTCCAAAGGAGTAAACCAACAGCATACGAGTTATCTTACCTGAGCACCTGAAACAGGTCCTGGATGAAGTCTACCAGCGCCACGGGAAACATGGGCATCAGAATGACGAGGATCAGCGCCGCCGAGATGATACATTGCACTTCACACTCAGACTGCAACACGGAACACGGGTGTGATGATACGGTGAGACACGAGAACGCAGTAACAAGTGACGACTCAAGGTCATCGTTCGTTATCGTCAGACATTACGTCCCAACGCCGAGTCACGAGGCATCATGGATCTGCTATTGAAACACTCGATTGCCTTAATTTGAGCCAGTGTTCTTGCGACGAAATGACATGCATACGGAAAAGCATATGTTACAAACAGAATAAAATAGCGGTGAATGTCAACTCACTACGTTTTAGCGTGACATGGCAGCATCTGGCGACCTAAATCGTCCCTCAGCAGTGTGACTGTGCCGAAAAATGGGCTGACCTTAATGATCCTGAACAGATCCTTGACGATGCTCGGGCTGGGCTGGGTGACGATCTTTCTCAGCCAGACGGGGTGTTTGCGCACATAGTATCCGAGCAGCCGGAGGCCGGCGCCGCGCTGCTCCGGAGATTTCAGCAGCTGGTGCAGCCTACCGAGCAGCAGAGGTGGACGACGTTAGGCACGGGAGTGACGAGCATGCTTGGAGGATAATGTAGTCTAGCTGACAGACGTTTATTGGTGGATGTGCCGAGGTAGTTCCACGAGAGCACAGCATACGGCAAATAAACGAGCGATTCTACGAATTACGGAAACCGCCAATGACATGCATCGGGAAAGTGTAATAGCTGGACTGTCAACACAAACCAAAGCAGAACCAGAGGACGCCTGCCACCATCCTACCTTTCGATGAGGGCGCGTGAGTTGCCGTCCCCACAGGTGAGCAGGATCTCCAGGCAGCGGGCCGACCCGGTGCTCACGTAGTAGTCAATCAGACCGTTCAGGAGCCATGCCTCGCCTGGGGAAAACAGCATCACAACATCAGCATCAGCATCAATTTGAGAAAAAAAAAAAACAAGAAAGATCTCAAACATAGCAACTACCTTCCAAAGCTGAAGGCGGGTAGAACAAATCTACAAAATACTGCACTAGAAAATGTTTGAGACTGTCATATCCACGAACGACCACAAAATCTCAACAGCACTCAAGGACGTGTATAAAATCTATATCTATGCACAGAGAACCCAATCAGCATCTCATGTAGGCTCTCCCATCTACTGCGGCAGTGAGTCAGGTCCGCCACTCCCCGTCCACCTCCGTACCGGTCGGTCCGCGCAGGTTTTCCCTGAACAGCTCCTTGATGTGACCGGCCTCGTCTGTGTCGGCCTGCTCCAGCCGGCGGAACATGAGGCCCGGGTCGTCGAGCGGCTCGGCCGGCGAGGGCGGCCGCACGCCCCCGCCCCCGCCTACACTCATGGCTGGCGAGCGCGGCGCTGCCGGCAGCTGCCGCCTACCGCCGATCCTGCAGTCACCAACACTGAAATGTGGAAATTCACATTATGTAGGCTTATGGTATAATATGACTGGTCTGGTTTTAGTAAAAAGTCAGGAAAGTAAGGCAGATTCAGAGCTTGTTTAGTGTTTACATGGGTCTAGACTTTTTAAGTTTTATATGCTTAATGTTTCTAATACTTCATTTGCTGTAATATTCTGATTTCTGAGATATAGGTACCTATGTTTATGTTCTATATGCATCTTTAAAAAACAATCTAAACTTTTTCTAATAACAGGCAATTGCAAGACCACTTCACAACAGATGATCACTTTCCAAATCTGGTATTTATCATGCTACCACTCCCTCATCCAGGTAATCAGATGCTAGGAAGTAAAAGGAGGAAAAGTAGGCAAGTTTCAGAGCACCCTAGGTGCAAAATTGAATAAAAACCACACCATATTGTCACAAACCATACCTACATCGACCTAGAAAATTGTTCACATACGACCATTTTTTAATCCAGGGCTTTAGGGTGAAACGAAACATTTGCAAGTTATACCCAACCACCTAACACCTAAAAAAAACAGGTACACTTTAAGCTGAAATGCCAAAAACTCACCTAACCTAAAATAAAATGACCTAGTCTTACCTGGCTCAGCAGGTGGTTGAGTGTATCTCCATAACTATCAATGTGCTGTCACTTTTTAAGCTTAGAAGGATTCACTTTTCCTTTTATCTTTTCATTTTGAGAATTCCTGCAGTTCTAAAAGGGTCTTGCCCTTACCCACATTTTCAGGTCAGGTTACTGACTCAATGTTTTAAGTGACCCTGTGCAGATTCCTTACAGTTGCAAATTTACAATGCTCTCAGTGCCAGAGGAGCTTTAACAGGGAGATAAGCTTACAGGACTTATTAACCTCCCAAGGCCACACAACTTGGGGCTATAACTTCCTTTTGAACCCTCTAAAAATTGGGGAAATTCATGAAATAAAACATGAAAAAGAAAGAACACATCCTTTTACGCTTGAAAAGAAACCACCAGGCATCAGTACTTTTTACACAAAACATTTATCGTTTGTTCATTAGGGCTTTAGGGTGAAACGAAACATTTACAAGTTATACCCGACCACCTGTTGAGCCAGGTAAGGCTACCTAATGTAAAGTAAGATAAGGTAAGGTAAGGTTGGATTAGGTTTCAGCATTTCACAGTGTACCTGCTTTTTTTAGAGTAAATTCAGCAATCACATTTAAGTTTAGACAGCATTTCCGTTCAACATGGAGTGTCATCGTCACTAGCCGCAGCAGCGGGGTTGTTCTACCTAACCCAAATTAGGCTCAGCCAGCAGCCTCCAGGCCGTATGAATCGCAGCAGCTGCAGAGCACTTGGACAGAGGCAAGTTTTACCAACAGAAAAATAGCCGCCTGCCTGAATTTTTTGCCTATTTTTTGTTTATGCTCAGTATGTGAAGCAGTCTTAAGGTGGAAAATTATGACAGCCAGCTATTTTTCTGTAGGTAAAAGTTTAACTGGCCTCTGGACTGATTTTTCAATAACTTCGAAATACACTTCAGCTGTACATAACAAAGGTTATAATAATCAAGGCACCTGGAATGCAGCCACCGGAAATTGATACCTACACTTCGACACTCCTGTTCTTGAGCCCCTGATCGAGTCAAAAAGCTGCAAAAGGGGGCGAAAATACGGAGTGGCCTATTCCCTAACTATCGATTAAGATAAAAATAAAAATAGAAAGGTATTACATACCAAACCCACCAACACACAACACACAACACAAAAACGGCGCACACCAGTTTTATAGGAACAAGGCTGAGTGAAATCCATATTTACCTTCTTTTCTTGCAAGGCAAAAAGTATCTGACGTCACAAAACCGATTAAGTGATTTCTAAAACAAAACAAGTGACCACCTTATTATGGCCCCAGCTGATTTAACATCGACACTTAACAAAAAAAAAACATATGATATAATATATCTCCTTCGACTGAAACTCTTGCTCCCAATAACAAAGCATCAGATGGTATAAAATGAGGCCCTTGAAATACAAAAGAAGAATGCATGAACATCTACCAATCAGACTCGTGTATTGCGGTACAGAATACCTTCAGGCGCATGACGGTCCTGCCATCTATTGACACGATCTGTAATCCCGGGCCCGACATCAATCCGTATCCCACGAAACCGAAACGTATATGCTGTGTAGGGGAGAGTGGGGTGGGTTGTATCAGTTTTTACTCCGAGACCCATAACCTCATAACTATCCGTGATAAACTCATTATTTCCATACTATCTTCTTCCTTGATTCTTCTGCTTTTTAGTGCAAAGTAACTTTTCCGCTACCTCTACCAGTTTTTCTTCTACGGTCTGCCGAATAGAACAATGTTTTTGATACAAGTTGCCCCATGGCTTGGGTGAGTTGTATCACATGGTGGGGTAATTTGTATCACTAGGTATTTCACGTTTCAGGGAGTGTGCTTGCTTCTGGTTTTGAACATAACAACAACATTAAAGGTGATTAATACAATGTATATGCTCAAAGGCTTCACTTTTATTAGACCAATCTTAGGTCAATGCAATCCGAACGAAACATCGAAACGAACGAAACATCAACAGACTAGATGCAAAAGTGGCCCGTTAAGAGCAAAGAAGCCAACACATTGTGCCGAAATGGAACGAGTATTGACTAGCTACCTACAAATGCGATACAGGGCTTAGCTTTCGCGATCAAAAGCAACATACCCATACATACATACATGTTACAACATACCCCACCCGGCTCTGATACAACATGTACCTCGCCGCCATCTTGGAAAAAACATCCTCGTGCTCAAAAACAGCGGACAGCTGGAGAAATCCATTTTCACTCACGCAGCCTTAGAACCTACCCTCACCACCGCTACGGAGATCTTTCAAATTCGTGCACATCTAAATGCCCAAAACACACATTTTCTTGCAACTCATTTTTTTAGAATGACATTAAAAAAAACATAAAATCGGCTCTCACCTCGAGACGCGTCTACCCAGCCACACGACAGAACAGGGAAAGATGGCGCCCGGAAAACCTCGTCGGCTGGTCGTGTCACGAGCGCTATCTATTGGATAAGTTTGGCACAATTCGCCCTGATACAACTTGGACATGATACAACTCTCCCCGCTCTCCCCTATGTATAGTCTGTCATATAAGTACAGCGCAAAGTAACCGTGGATCCATCAAGCCTGACCGAGGAGGGGCCTGCTATAATTTAGTCACCGAACCAATTGACCCGGGGAATGGACGAGGATGTCCATTGCTTCCGTGACTCAAATTTAGCAGTCCTTCCTCGGTCAGGCAGAGGCTTGATGGATCCACCATTAGGTACTTTGCGCGATACCCTACATTGTTCATTGTTCAGAGGCCTCTTGCACCAAACTACCTAGCTAGGTAAAATCGAAAAACCGGTTTCAGAATAAGCTAATCTAACGGTGGTAAATTTGTTTGCAATAGCCCAATACATAATCCTACATGTGCTTGCAAAATTTTGCATGCAAATTGTTACATTTGAGACTTGGACTGGGTATACGATGCAAAAGAATCCAAGCATTGGTGCAAGAGGATTTTGGTGCAAGAGGCCTCAGGTCAGCCTCAAGTAATGTGAGGTAGCGTCGACAAACCTTTGTTCCTATTTGCCAAAAAGGTGATTTATTGAATTAGCTGAGACGGAATAAGTTGCTGAAAAAATACTTTCTTTTTTTCTTATCGGTGAAAAGGTGTATGGACTAAAACCGGCAAGAAAACAAGATGATGGGCATGAGAATGGCAGAGAAGTGTTGGCAAGATTCGTTCTGGGTTTGTCCTGTCCTGCCCAAACAAAGTCCCGACGGCGTGGTGGTTGGTTGTCATTTAGGTATCTAATTCATCCCTTGTTCCAAGTAACCAAAAAGGTGATTCCGTTGACTTAGTTGAGACAGAGTAAGCTGTTATTTTTTACAAACGCTTTCGCTCTTTTTATTATCCGTGGAATGGGCGAAAAATAAACGGCCTAAAACCGGCGAGGAAACTAGATTTGGGGGTACCTTGTGTTGATCTTTATATGTTATGAAGCGACATCGATGCATGTTAGGTGAGCCCCCCCCCCCCCAGTCAGAAAATAGTTTCAACGCCACTGCCAATTGAGCTAGTGGAGTCGGAAAGCTACCAATAAATTTTGGTTGACCAAAGACTTTAAAATCGTTAACCGTTAGGCGTTAGCCGCGCATAATGAGGAAGCACGCGCCTTCATGCTTTCCGAGAGTCTCTAGTTCAATAAGGGATCAAACGGCGAAGGGGTAGTTCAGGACCCTTCCCCTCGACCGGAACGTATGCAGAAAATCGTTAGGACGGGCGAGCGTTCACAAACAATCACCGTCTTCGTCTTGTCGCAAGGCGCCAGCAGCACGCTGTTCCTTTAGAATTTCTAGCTCCAATAAGGGACCGAACGGCAGGGGGCAGGGGTAATCCGTAATCCGACCGAGACCGTCTCACCAGACCTTAGCTGCTGTCAAGTGCCGTGGTGACTAAGGGCACGAGTTAATTTGTTTCATAAGTTCTTGCCACACAATGATTCAACGGAACGCACAAATGATCATACGACCTTTCACCACAAAAAGGTCACGAGTCAATTTAAGAAGATCGTGTATTTTTACTTCACGAGATCTTTGGTTAGCAGTATGCATTTTACTTGCATTTTACCAGCTGATTTCTGAGCTTGACAAAGTCAAATAAAGTTAGAATACAGTCGATACAGTCATGCAGTTGACGTTTGGTTGAAATAAGCACAGTTGAATTTCGTTAAATGCAGTCGTTTGGATAACTTCAGCATAATATCTGGGGGTGGGAGGGTTTAGAAGAAATTGTCGCATCTTTTTTTCTGCTAACCATCAAGTAATGGAGTCATTCAAAGAATCAGTTCTAAAAAGAAGAAATTAAGTTGAAAATCCCAGAATCTTAAAAAGCAATGCACCCGTGAACCATGACATACATCATAGTGGTTTACGGTGAGAGTGGTCGGCTGGTGGCGAACGCCGACTGTTGTGCTGGCGTGCTGCGCGACTGGCTACTCACCCAGGTGTCCCACGCGCTGCCCAAGTCCAAGGCGGCCGGCTGGCAGCTGGACCTGTGCGGCGCCGACGGCGGCCTGCGGCTGCTCTCCGTGCTGCCGGCCAGCAGTCGTAGTCTGGAGACGCTCAGCGCCGGCACCGTGTACCGCGCCGTGGTGCGCAGCAGTGAGCCGGGCGCCCTGTTCCACCGGCTGGGCGGCAGCGGCGGCTCGGACGCGTCCGACCACCACTCGCGGCTGCTGCGCGACCAGGCCGCCTGGGAGCTGGCCGCCGTCCGGCTGTCGGACGACTCGCCAGCAGAGCTGGTGCTGCAGACGGTGCAGCAGGTGCTGGCCGGAGCCGGAGCCAGCACCGCCTCCGGACTGGCCCGTCAACTGGCCAAGGCCGCCAAGGAAGGCAAGTGCTCGGAGCGGTTCGCGGCTCTGGAGCGGGCGCTCGGTCCGCACAGAAAGGTGCAACAGGCGGTTCAGTCGTTGAAACAGCGCGCTGCGAGCAAAAGTCGCTCACCGACGCCCAACCGAAACAACGCGGCCAAACCGTCACCGCAAACACCATCAAACCGATCGACGACACCAAACTGATTAATTTTTTTGTTATCGTTGAAATTAACAACGCATCGTCACTCATAAAACTCGAATTTTTCTCTTTCGTCTACTTGTCAGTTCTGAGACGTGTTTACTTTTACCATTATTACTTTATACTTTTCGCGTCGAAGGACATAGGTATGTCAACCAGTCCCGTCTTTTCATTTGTCAAGTTTCCTTTTAATACCTTTGTTTGTACCGAAAATAACATACCGATATATCGTTGTTGTGCCGTACGTTTACTTATTTTTGGTTAATTATATTTTTCAACCTTACAGTTGTTTCTCTTCGCTTTTTTTCGCTCCATGACACCTTACAGGGCAAGGCTATTGTGATACTATCACCATTTAGGACCACCGATGCTCGCCAACCTATATACCGCTGCTGCGTTGGAACTTGGAAGGGGTTGGACGTTTAATTGACAACTTAAACCCTCGCATGTGTGCGGCGTTTGCCAGCTTCTAATGTGTAGGGGGGGGGGGTCGGTTGGACCCCCCCCCTTGCCGTTTGGCCCCTGATCGAGCTAGAGCTTCGCGGAAAAAACGAGCGTGTTGCCCGTGATGAGAGGAAGCCGATGATACCCAATTTTAAGGTCCTAGGTCATTGGTTGACCTTCCAGGTCAGGTCAATGACCCAAAGGCGGGAAAATCGGGACCTGTTAGAAAGTCGTAAAGTGTGGCTGCTAAGGGGGTTTTCGGGGTGCTAATCACGAATATCATGTTAGTTTTGATCACAGATGATGTCTTTAAGCATTTAGACCAGGTCGGGTCAGGTCAGGTCAGGTCAACCAGTAGGCGTCGTGACGGGTATTCGTAGTACGTGTCAACCGCCTCTGACAGCTTCGTAACATGTTACGAAGTCACCAAAACTACTTCGTAAATGTTCAAATGGTTGCTAGATTCAGCTCCAAAAACTAGCCTAGAAACATGTAAAACTCGAAAAAGTGAACCGAGGTCACCCGAGGTCACGAAAGGTCAATGACCTGACCTGACCTTCAGATGACCTTGACACCCACCCTAATGTATGGGAGCAACATCAAATCACATGTTTGAACGTTTGAAACC